CGTATGACTGAGGTCTCCGCTGGAAGACTTAAAGGCTGGAGACTGAAATTATGTGAGACCTCACACATCAATTCACATGTCCAGTGTGGGTGCTGGCTGTCCTCTGGGGACCTCAGTTCCTCCTTTCATGCACCCTTCCCATGTCTGTGTGGGCCAGATTGAGCTTCCTTACAACATGGCGGCTGGATTCCAAGTAGATGTGTCTGTCCAGAGAGATGGATCCAAGGGGAAGCTGCATCCTTTTGATGACCTAGCCTTGAAAGTTGTATACCATCACTTCCAGCACATTCATAAGAAGGGCATGTTGGATGGGAGATAAATATTGATGCAGCCATCTGTGGAAAGATAGATCCTGACACACACATGTAGTATCTCATCTAATCCTGACTACAACCTATGAGGAACATACTCTTCATAACTCCATTTTACAGAAGAGGAAATTAAAGCTCAGCAAGGTCAAAATTTTGCCCAAGGTCATGCCTAATAAGTGACAGAAGTAGGATTTGAACTCAAGTCTCAGTGACTCCAAAGCCATTACCATTACATTTATTGCCTGCCAAATGTAGAACAAGGATGCCAAGAGCACATTCTCTTTCTTGAGATCCTTAATTGCCTGGATCCCTCTGAGATGCTGTTGAATCACAGCACCTTGGTGAATCATGGCTTGTTCTGGAGACTTTCTAGGCAGGGGCCCCACACAAGGACAGGCCTGCGATGGGAAGCAGAGTGTAATTCAGCGTGGCAGGAGGGCACATGATGTGGTGTGGGCGTTAGGACGGGAAAGGTTGATTGGGGTCAGATTAGGGAGGGATCCTGAATCAAGCAAGGGGATTTAGACTTTCCTGGGACAAAGGGGAGATCCCAAAGTTTCTGAGCAAGTCAGCCATATGTCCAGAAAAAATTAATTAGGAAGAGTGTGAGATGATGGGTGGGGGTGGAGCCTATGGAGACCCTGTTGGGGGGTGGTCAGAGCAACTGGAGTAACGGGGTTCGCTTGGTGGTGGGCCTGTGGGAACTAGAATCAGGGGCTTGGTAAATGAGAGGGCTATCCCAGAGGAAGAGTCAAAGGACTTTGTGGGTACACGGAAGGGAAGCAAAGCACCACAAAAGGCTCCAGGGCAGGTGCAAGTGGGAGCTATTCACAGAAGACAGCAAGAAGAAGGTAAGAAATGCCAACATTTCTGTTGGAAATCGAGTTTTGGGTATTGGAGCTCAGAAAAGAGCCAGAGCAGATATGAGAGTCTTCGTAGAGAGACTGTGGTCAAAACCTTTAGATGAGGGGAGGCCTCCCAGGGGGCAGTGGGGCCAGGAGGAGAACAGAACCCAGGACTTTGGAAAAAGAGAGGATAGGCCCATGGTTCTCAAACTTTGGCATGCAGCAGCGTCCTAGAGAGAGCGAATCAAGAACTCAGAGATCCAGGTGCATTGAAGCAGGGCCTTTGCGTGCCCTGGGGAGGAGCAAAGGATGGGAACAAATCTATGGGCTTACCGAGTCCCCAGGGGGATTCTGAGACCCACCAAAGTACTATGAGCCACTAGCTTGAGCCCAAACGGTCATTCTCCACCTTGGCTCATGTTGGAACTACCTGAGCAGCTTTAGAAATACCCACATCTGAGTCCCGCCCACCCTTCGGGGGATTCTGAGGTTTAGCCAGGCTGGGGGATGCCTGGTTGAAGGAGAGGGAGAAGAGGCAGCAATATTCGAGGGGTTGAGAAATAACAGTGAAAGCATCAGGAGACCAGGTGGTTTGGGATGTGGCCGCCTTGGCCAGGGAGGGGACAGTGGGCAGTGGGGACATGCAGCCCAGTTTTCGGTGGTCGGAACCTGATTGCACATGGCAATGCTGATGGCCAGCTCACACACCTCATACCGGTGGAAACAGAAGTCTGCAGGTGAGTTCTTGAACTTGGCATCAGCACTTTTTCTAACTGGTATGTGGCCAAGTTGGGGACAATGATGCTTGTCACCCTTGAATATGGACACCCTTCACTGGGGGTCTGGTGAAGATGCAGGTTCTGATTCTGTAGGTCGGGGCGGGGCTTGAGACTGCATTTCTTTTTTTTTTTT